ACCCTCCCCTGCTCATGCTGTCTCTCTCTCTCTCTCCTAGAAATAAATTTTAAAAAAATATTTAAAAAAGAACAACACATGGACATTACATGGAACGTTACAATAGTAAGAGCTACTAAGAGAAATAAGGGAGGGAGATAAGGGGGCCTCAGGACCTGCTGCTGTGACACCACTGCAACAGCGAGACCGCGAGGGAGTGTGGTGCCAAGGGCCGTCAACAGGTTTTATGGATGGAAGCTTCAAGAATCTCAATGCCTGCTTGCTTTCCTCTCAATAAAACAACACCTTTCCCTTCTCTACCACAAGCCTTAGAGAAAAGTTCTGGTGTCATCTGTCTTTGTATTGCGAGCGTCTCACTGATGAAAACACCTCCTCCAAGAAGCATGAACCCTGGTCTCTCGTCTCTACCCAACCCTGCAGCAGTGACTCGCCACAGGGAGCGAAAACTGCGAAAATCCACTTAAGTTTAAAAATACATTTCCACTATTGTAAAATGCTTTGTTGGGGTTAATATAATTTGTTTTAATTTTAAAGCCAAATAAAGAAGAAACATTTGCTAGTAAAAGGGGGCACATTTCTCAAGACTGAGAGTGTCATCTAGGCCACATAATTAAATGACACCATCTAAAATGCGTCAAGCACTGGACAGAGCTATCAAACCACTAACGTTTGGTAAACATGACCATGCCCTTGCCACTGCACTCATTACCAGTGAAGATTCTCATGCTTGCTACACAGAAGCGCAACTGTACAAGCCACAAGTCACTTCCCTACAACCAAAGTGAGCGGTGTCTTCAGACATGCCTTTTTCCATCTACTTAAAAGATTACTAAATATCTACAGATGGTCCCCAATTTATGATGTTTCAACCTAATTTTTCAACTTCACAATGGTGCAAAAGCGATACACATTCAGTAGAAACTGTACCTCAAACTTTGAATTTCCACCTTGTTCACAGCCAGCGGGCTCCCAGCCAGCCCCAGGACCACACGAGTAACAACTGATAACTGACCTGGGTCCCGCACCCACACTGCCATTCTGTTCGTCACTTTCAGTATTCAATGAATTTCATGAGAGATGGTCAACACTTCACAATCAACCAGGTTTTGCCCAACCGCAGGCTCATGTAAGTGTTAGGAGCATGTTTACAGTAAACAAGGCTAAACTGTGATGTTCAAGATTAGGTGTATTAAATGCATTTTTGATTTCACAATATTTTCAATTTACAAGAGGTGCAGCAGGACACACGGCATCATCGGCTGAGGAAGGCCTGCTGGGGGCCTGGGCCTGAGCTGGGCAAAGAGTTACGGAAAAAGCATCTCAGCCACAAGGAGCTTCTTACACTAATTGGTGCTGTGCACGAAGCACGGCTTGAGAAATTAAGGCAAGGATTCTTGAAGGACTCCAGAAATACCTTATTTATAAGGATGGATTAAAGAGCAAAATTAAAAAAAAAAAAAAAAAAAAAAAAACCTTCAGTTCCCAGCAAAGAAACTACGGGGGGGCAGAGGCGACACCACCGCAGCATCAGGGCTGTGCGACGAGGCGGCGGCCAGGGCAGGCCCAGCAAAGGTGGAAAGGTGGCCGGGCCAGCGCGGACGCGGAGGAAGCGCCCAGGCCCCTGGGCGTTTCTTATTTAGGCAGGGGACAGAGCCACTGAGGAGTTTCAAAAAGGGCCTAACAAACAGGATATGCTTTTAAAGCAGCCTCTGGCCATAGTGTGACTAAAACGGTGTGCTGTTAAAAAAAAAAAAAAAAAAAGAGAGAGAGAAAGAGAGAGAGACACGTTCTATCACACAAATACTATCCCAATTTATAAGTGTTTAAGCCAAGACATTCACATATCAGATTTCATACGTAACATTTCCAGTGAAGACTAAGTCTCATCTTTAGAATTATCAAACTCTAAAAATCAAATAGCAGCTTTCAAATTTGAGTCAAATTATGAAACGTCCTTCGTGTTATACAATTCACTCTGTGACCCAGGTCTCACTATCAGGGAAGTAGGGCGGACACTAAAGACAAAATCGAACCACGACAAGAGACGCAAAAGTGGCGCAGCACTCACCTGCGGCCCTTATGAACTGCGCCAGGGCAGCTCACCAGGAAAATGGGGAAAAGTCAGTCTGTGAAAGCACTGAGGACACGGGGGCTGCAGGGTGGGGGAAGGGAAGAAGGGAAGGAGACATGAGTAGAGTTGATACTTTTTTTTTTTACCTGTTCCTAAGGTTAAAGATATTTACATGCAGGAAAAATAAAGGGTTGGATCTTCAGGGGGAAAAAAAAACATTTCCACGGTGGAATTATCTTCCTCCTAATAAGAGAACCTAGTGGCTTTCCACTTTACAATTCCATATTCTAATACAGAAATTCATTCTCTAATCAAAGACACCAGCTCCAACGACACCAGCAAGTCCAACAACTAGCAAACAGTCTGAGCTGAGCTCCACTACAATCAGATCTGGTGAGTTTCTCAGAAGGCGGACCTCATTTACTGTGCACTCTAAAATTAGCTCTTACAGAAAAAAAAAGAACTCTTTACAGGAATGAAGTTTTACAAAAGAGCAAAAGCAACAAAGTTCAGCAACAGTGTCAGTTTTAAACAATGTATTTTCCACAAAAACAACTTCAGTGCTTTCTTCTGTCCATTACAAAAAGGTTGAGGCAACGGCCTCACTACACTGAGATTTTCTGCCATCTACCTAACTGAAAAAATCTTTTAAGTACGAGAAAACTCTGCAAGAACACAATGATGACTTTACGCAAGCATATTTAAACCTGTGCCTTTAAGGTGAGGATGATAACAAATGGAAGTTAAAGTAACTTAGATCTATACTGCTTTTAACAATCTCCAGGGACCATCATAAAGAGACCACGTTACTAAAATTAGAAGACCAAAATTATGATCCCACTTATCGCTATGGAAAGTATGAATCCAGCACTACACTTGAAATAACAGTGGAAGGAGTCTGTCAGCCACTTCCAACTTGGTAAACGGGAGCACAGGTCTAGCACTACAGAAACCTGTAAAGTGCTGCAAATCTACTTAACAGGAGAGAAGGTACTTGCAGGTACTGTTTATTACTGTTAACAACCTGGTGCTCCCAAGCTGCACTTTTCTTATTTCAGAATTATGTTTTATGATACGTGAAGACGGTTTCATACAAACAGGTCACAAAAACGTATCCATAGAGTTTAAATATGTATTTGTCAAAACTTATGCTTATTTATGGAAATGATATTAAGTTCAATAAATTCTCCAACTCTCAACTTCGTTTAAAAGCACAGTCCCTGGAAACCCTAAATAAAATCACTATCTCCCTGAATATGCTGCCATTTAATTTCAGCTACCCTTCCACAAAACACGTTAAAATGAAGGCTAGCTCTCCCATTATCATCTGCTTTCTCTCTGGCTCCTACTCAAATACAGCATAACTCCTTTCTCAAAATATACATTTTGTCCTCAGAACCTGCTTTCTCTGCTCAGATATATGTGATCAAGCAAAAACCAACCACCAAATTACACAACAAAAACTTTAAAAAATTAAAATTGACAATCACATAAAAATACTGAAAACACAACAGTGAAGCACCACGAGTCATTTCTAATCAGTAAGACCCATGCCATTCTTCGGTGTAAGTTAGTCAAGTCACATTACTGTTTCAAAATACAGAATGAAATTTATCTCTAACCCAAGGCAAGTTTCAAAGGGAAATACACAAATCAACTTTCTGCTTGAATAATAAACCTGCTAATCTGATGCCTTTCAGAAAGTATTTCACTTTAGCAACCCAAGCAAACTCCAGCCAAGGGCTCTCTCTCACGGGTGTTTCATCAAACTGCCTCTCACTATACTAAATACAGAGGAAAGCTAAAAAGCCACAACCATTTCAACTTCTGTAAATTACCCTGACTGTAAATTAGAGGGAGCCGGGCAGGTGGGGAAGTATGGAAATTGCACATTGCTCACAGTGCACCAGTGAACATTTCTTCCCCTCCCCCCTTTTGCAAAGGACGACTTAGCACCTATTTCAAGAGCACTTTAACACAAGAGATCACTTAAAAAGCATAAGAAAAAAAAAAAACTTTCAAAAGGGAAAGTAATTTGTATACTCACAACACTCGTCTTCAACTTGGCATTATCCTTTTTTAAATCCCTCAACTTACCAAGTAATACCCCTACACAGTGCTAAGAGATCTTCAGGTTCCTCAGTTACCCAAAACTTCAAACTTCCATTAAGATTAGGACAAATTACAGTGCAGCCAGGAAGACCGTCTCGAGCGCTTGAGAGCCACCCTACAGATTATTTTCTCGCTGCATCGCATCCAAAATTAAAGGCCCTTTTACATCAAAATAAGAAACGAACAAGCAACACAAAACTGTGCCGAAATCCAAGTTTACGTTGTGACTGGACACGACCGAGACGCAGGTGGTAAGAGACTGCTGACCTGTCCTTTTCACCACCGCGTACCCCGGTCCTATTTCGAACGCAGGGCATCCTTAGACCCGATTTTTCTCTAATTCCTTCAGAACCCGCCTCTGCTCAAGCCCATCGAGAGAAGAACGGGAGCTCCCCAGACACACCCGGGCCAACAGGATCCCCACTTCCTGGTCCGAGTGACCCCGTCCCCTCCCCGCTGGGCCGGCCGGCGGGGCCCGGGCCCCGGGCGGAGGGCAGGGCGAGGCCTCCGCAGTGCGGGCCGGACGGCGGCGCCGCCTGGCCCCGACCCCCGCGCCCCCGACCCGAGTCCCGGCCCGCCCCGACCCCCACGCCCCTGACTCCCACCCCCGACGCCGGCGGCCCGGCCTGCACTCGGGCCCCGCAGCCCGGCGCGGCCCTGCCCGCCGCCCGGCCCCGTCCGGCCCGCCCGCCGCCGCGTCCTCCGGGAAGATGGCGGCCCGTGACAGGCGGGCGCGGCACGGGTCCGAGGCGGCGGCCCGGCTCCGAGCGGGAAGCGGAGAGGACGGAGCGGCCCGCCCGCCGCCTGCCGCGCTCACCTGTCAGCAGCGCCGCCGCCGCCCGGCCGCCGACCGCCGCAGCCCCGGTGCCCGGCGACCGCGCCACACGCGGACGGGGCCGAGAGGGAGGGGCGGGGAGGGCGCGGCCGGCCCGGACGAGCGGCGGGGACGGCGCGGCGCGGGCTGGCGGCGGGCGGCGGCGGCTCCTTCCCGTTTCGGGCCCGAAAATGTCTCAACCTCGCGACTCCGGCGCCCCAACGCTCCTTCCCGTTCGCATGAGAACACACAGCTCCCACTTCCGGGGCTCGGCGGAAGTCCCGCCTCGCGCGCCCGCGCACCCGCGCGCCCTCGGACTCACCGGCCTGACCAGCTGACTGGCGCTCGGCGCCCGGGAGAGCCTCTCGTCATGGAAGTGCGGTGTCCTGATTGGCTGCGTGCGGAGCCCGGCCCTCCCCTCTGCTTCCCGGCCTTTCCGTGCGCGCGCCCCTCCCGGCTGCGCCAGTGATTGGCGCGGGCGCGCACGCAACCCCGCCCCGCCCGGCGCACGCTTCCCGGCCCCGCCTCGCCGTCCCCACAGTCCCCACCGCCCCCACTGCGACCTGAGGAGGCGGCGCCGTCGCGTAGTCCCGCGACCTCCGCCTTGCTAGCAGATGGCGGTCTCCCGGCACCCCTGTCTCCGTCTCCCAGGTCCACGACCCCCGACTCCCACACCCTGAGACCGCGACCCCGTCCCCCCTCACCCCGGGACCGCGACCCCGTCCCCCGTCCCCCCGGGACCGCGACACAGACCCCCTCCTCCCGGGACCGTGACCCCGTTCACCCCGGGACCGCGACCGGGTCCCCCCACACACACCCCAAGATGGCGACTCCGCCCACAGACCCCTGCCCCTCCGCGCCAGGGACAGAAACGCCCACACACCCCTGCCCCCGCTCCCGCCCCAGGGCGGCCGTGGGCGCGGCCGCGGGAGGGGCCCCGGAGAGCCCCGGGGCTCTGGGCGTCCGCTCCCTGCTGCGGGCTCTCTGGGGTGTGTGTCGCCCCCCCCCCCGAGCCCGTCACGCGGGGACAGAGCGTGTTCACCTGCTTGAAGCCGCTCCCTCCTGAGCGCCGGTCGTGTGGACGCGGACGCAGGAGTCCGTGCGTGTGGAGAGGTCTCCGGTCGCTCTGCCCGGCCGCCCCGCACCTGTGCTTCCCATGCGTGCCCGGACGGACGTGTGCGAGCAGGTGTGCGCTGCCACTTCCGCGTCCCGGGGCCGGGCCGGGTGCGCCCGCCGTGTGACCGTGTCCCCTCCCGCCCGGGGCCTGCGGGCTACACGCGGATCGCCGCGGCGAGGCTCTGAGAACAGACACGCCGAGGACTGAAATTCCCGCCAACACTGAAAGCGCTCCGGGTAGCGCTCGAGGCCGGGGGGCTTGGTTTCAGCTCCGGTGGGGCGTCCAGCCCTGTGGGTGTGACAGCCTGCCGGGGAGTCCCGCTGTCCCCGCTCCCCCGCTCCGAATACACGTGAACACCTCCCGCCTCAGCAGTGGTGGGGCGGGGGCCTCTCCGCGAGCTCTGCGTGCCCGTCCGCACCCAGGCCCCCCTCTCGGTGCGAACCCTCCCCTCGGCCCGGTGATGCGGACCACCCCGGATGGACCAGGGATTCCCTGAACGTGGCGAGTGAGGCCTTCACCGTCCCTGCTTAGGCCTGCGTTCGGGCAGACGCTTCGGTACACGGATAAACTCCTAAATTACAGAAAAGACCAGTATCCTACGCGATGTGGGAGTATCTGATGTGGAGATGATGACTCTTATTTCACGCTCACATTGTGTGATCCTTCCTCAGTCAAAACTGGCTTTTTGTAGATAATCACCTCACCCCTGTCAGAACGGCTAAAATCGGGGCACCTGTGTGGCTCAGTTGGTTCGGCGGGAGAGTCTTGATCGCCGCTCAGGTCATCATCTCGTGGTTCATGGCAGCGCGGAGCCTGCTTGGGATTCTCTCTCTCCCTCTCTCTCTGCCCCTCCCCCCTCAAAATGAATAAATAATCTTAAAAAAAAGAATGACTGAAATCAACACACGAAACGACAGGTACTGGTGAGGCCACAGAAAGGGGAACCTCTTGCACCGTTGGTGGGAATGCAAACTGGGGCAGCCGCTCTGGAAAACAGTGTGGAGTTGCCTCCGAAAGTTCAAAATAGAATTCACCCTACAATCCAGCAATTGCACTCCTAGGTATTTATCCAAAGAATATGGAAACACTAATTCAAAGGGCTATGTGCACCCTGATATTTATAGCTGTGCTATCAACAATAGCCAAACTCTGGAGAGAAGCAAGTGTCCATCGACTGATGAATGGACAAAGAAGATGCGGTGTATACAAGGTGGAATAATTAACTCAGCCACAAAAATGAATGAAATTTTGCCATTTGCAACGTGAATGGAGCTAGAGAGTGTAATGCTAAGTGAAATGAGAGAAAGAAAAATACCATATGATTTCACGCATATGTAGAATGTAAGAAACAAAACAAATAAGCAAAGTGAAAAAAAAAAGGCATAGACAAACCAAGAAACAGACCCTTAACTGTACAGAACACACTGACGGTCACCAGAGGGGAGGGGGGGGTGGGGGTGGGAACAGAGGAAATAGGTGATGGTGATTAAGAGTACACTTATGAAGAACTGTTGAATAATTGTGTTGTACACCTAAAACTGATAGAAAACTGTGTGAACTATGTTGGAATTTAAATACAAATAAAATGAGATTTACACAATAAAAGACAAACTGGTTTTTTGTTCCCCTGTGATTTTTTGGCCTGTGTTCCAAAAGAAACATCCATTTTCACCCTGGAATGTGAAGTTATAATCTAAAACGCATTTTTGTGGCATTTCTGCTTAGAAAGATAAGATCAATTTAAAAAAAAATTTAGTATAAGTATCTCAACCCATGTGCATCCTCACTTCGCACGTCACACCGTCACACCGTGACAGGCCCCACCTCTCCTGCCTCAGAGATCGTCCCACCCCTGGAAGGTTCTGCTTGCTGTCACCTCTCTCCTGATTTGTTTCAACAGCACAGTGGCCGATCTCTTTCCTGTCTGCTCACCCCACCACCCGTCGTGCCGACACACATCTCTTTAAGCAGCCTCCTAAACCTCCCCACCTGATTGTCAGCCCTTGAGGAGAAGTCCAGTTTATGTTTTATGGACCAGAAGTTCCTTCACAAACTGGTCCCCATACATCTCTTCCTGCCCTAGAGTTAGATGCCTGACCTTCATCACATCCACATGACAAGCATTTCTTAGGACCGAGGGCAGGCACTGCCTGTAGTCCTGAGTACAATACGGGCTTTACGCTGTAGGACATACTGGATGCCTCACTGACAGTCCCGTCAAACAATGGGGCGGGGGGGGGGGGGGCCGGGGCTCCAGGCTGCCTGCAGAGCTGAGCCTAGAGCCTCATTTCACTTCCAGGTGCATTCAGTGCCCTCCATCTGTATGCACTTTCCTCTGCCTGGAGTGTCCCTTCTCTCTTCCGCTTCTGGTAAAATCTAGCCTCATTTTCAAGGTACAGCTGAGATGTCAACCATTTAAATCTTTTCCTTGAGACACTTGGCTTCCTTTCTGGGTCCTCATAGCGCTCTTACTCATAGCTCTATGAAAGCTGCTAGAACTTGCCATTTACACGCCAGCCAGCCCCAACAGTTGTCAGCTGCACAAGGGCAGAAACTATCTGTGATATCTAGCCCCACGCGTGTGGGGCGGCATTGTATCTCCTTAATAAATGTCTGTTTTGCCAAATTAACCAATGGAAAAAGCCAAGATATTTTTTCTCTTATTAAGGGCTTAAATTTCAGCTAGTATCTGAGAACATTTTTTTCTTTTGTTCTCCCAACATTTCCTGTGAAACATAAACTTTTTTTCATTGTGTATATCGCTGAAAATTACATGTATGTTAGCAAGCTCATTTGTGGCTTAACCACACTGCTCAAACTTTATTCCAAATGATTTAGAACCATTCACTTATTCTTAAGGAGACAAGAACTCACCAGGTGCCTGCTCCCGGTCAGGGGCTGTGCCTAGTGCTGGGGAGCAGCACAGCCCAGGGGTCAGGTGGACAGACATTAGGGATAAAGAGGATAAGGTTACTGTGTACCCAGAGAGCAAGCACAGAAGGGGTCAGAGAAAGCTCGGAGGAGGAATCAGAGAAAGTGATAAGTAAGCCAAAGCCAAAGCACTAGAGTACAGAAGCTGTGATAAGCATCCCAGCAGGGAGGGGGAGGCCAGTCCAGATCAGAACAGAAGTACTTGACCATGACAAAGCGAAAAGCCTAGTTGGTGAGGTGGGTGGAGGCCCAGGAGCCTGGGGGGGGGGGGGGGCAAGCAGGGAAGAGCCCCAGGGATCTCTGTGGGCCATTTAGGGTTTGACAGCGAGTGGAGATTTTTTCCTGAGGTAAGAGGGGATTCAAAAAAGGTTTTAAGCGTTGGTAGCTCTCTGGCCCCCAAAAGCCACCAAAATAAAAATACAATGAGGAACTAGCTTAGTCAAATTAGGTGGAACTATTACAATGAAAAATGCCGGTAATACATTAGAATACATGGGGGGGGGGGATAAAGAATGCATGAGTTCGTACTAAGAAATACCGAAAAATGCGTAAGTAAAAAAATACTAGAGATGAGGAAGGAAAAGGGAAAGCTTTTCTTTATGGTAGAATGCAACTAGTGCATTGAGACATGGGCGTGTTGGGGCTGTTGTGGGGTTTATTCTGGCAAGAATCATCAAGGAATGCTAATCTCACGGGGGGGGGGGGGGAAGGTGGTTGAGGACCAGGTCGCGTTGTCGTTTCACAGTTTATTAATTGCTTACAGTTAAGTGATTTCAAAGGCGGAAAGGATATCCTTAAAGTGGGTGAATATGGTGGACCCCACCTGAGTCCAGAGTTCAAAGCTGCCATTCCCAGTAACGGCGGCCTACAAACTCAAAAGTGAAGACATTCTACAAAATGATCGACCCATTATCTTCAGAAGTATCAAGGTCATGAATGCCTGTGGAAGGTTGAGGAGCTTTTCCAAATTAAAGACAACAGAGGAGATTGCAAGTGAATGCAGTGTGTAACTCTAGACTAGGTGCTCAATCAGAGTGACATTTGCTGTGATGGACACAGTCAGAACTCCAGTATGGCCTCTGTCCCAGTCTCGTGAGCAAGGTTACACATCCTGAACTGGATTGATTCATTAACTTGTTTTATGTTTGCGTAAGAGACTCTCTTGGTCATAGGAGATATAAACCAAAGTATTTAGGGCTGACAGGTGAGGTCTCTGCAAGTTTCT